GCAAAGCCCAACATCCCGTCTCTGTTCCTCAAGGACCCCAGACTAGCTTGGGAAGTTTTCTTTGGCCCATGTACCACTTACCAGTACCGACTCGTGGGCCCTGGAAAATGGGATGGAGCCAGAAATGCCATCCTGACCCAGTGGGACAGGACTATGAAACCTTTAAAAACCCGAATTGTTGCTGATCCCCCCCAGCCTGCCTCCATGTCACGTTATTTTAAAGTTTGGTGGGCACCTGTCCTATTTGCCTCTCTTCTAATTATCTGTAAACCTTCACTGTTTAAATTTGTGTGAGATAAGTTCTAAGATAGCATTTTTCTGTACTACAGTCTTCTAACTTTTGAAATACAGATGATGAATTCTCAGATAAGGAAGTCTCTGTGTGATTGTTTCCTCACATGTCTTCTAGGTTATGCACTCTTCTAAGGCATGGATAGAAAGAAGACGGACTCAAAGGCAGTACATTGAATAGAACTGAGTGTCCATAAACTAACAAGGCTTCTAAAAGTCTCCTAGATTCTTTAGATTCTCAGCATAACCTAATGCTTATAGCTTTGGGGCTGTCAGAAACTTCGGTGTCTATTCCTCAGCAAACTGGGAACACATCAATTCCCCTAAGTCAGCAGAAGCAAACAAAAATCAATGATTAATATTACTGAAGGTAATTTCCTTAAATTCCAAAATTTCTAACCTACCCAGTAGAGATTAAACTTACTTTTTCCAAATAACATTTAAAGTAGTTGACCACCCTGACAATACCGTTTGTAGTTGGGGACAGTCCTTGTGATCTCCGCCTCTGTGTCAAATAGACCTGTCTATCTTTGGATCCTGTGTATCCCTCCCGGCCCAGTGCACCCTTCCTGGAAAAGTATCTCAGTAAGCCCAGCCTTTCTCCACCCTTAACTCACACAGCTTCTGTGTCTGGGCAAGTGCAGTGATTATCTGCCTGGGAAATTAACTGCTCCCACACATCCCACTGTCATTCTTATGGGCAGAAGCCTGCCCACAGGGAGTACACACTTGGCTCTAGGCATAGGATGAGGAAGTCTCCTAACTCTGAAGTTTAGCTAGGAAACCCATATATTTTGTAAATCGCCCCCTTTATCTGGCCTTCAGGTGTTCTGGCTGACTTCCTAATCAATACAGATCCTTTTTTATGGAATCCATAATGATTATAAAATGGCTCCAAGGTGTACCAGTCAGTGTCTTAGTGGATTGATTGATCCTTAGTGAAACATTACTCTGCAGAGATAGCAAAGGGGAAGGGGATTACAAAAAGAAAGAAGTTGTATTATGTACATGTACTCACTCCCCAAGATGACTACAAACTGCATGTACAGCAAACATGTACTAATAAAATAAAATGAAGTGAAACTCTAACTAAAACAATAGAAGTCTCTAGATGATGAGGAAGAATGGAGCCACTCTCAAAAACCCTTGAGACCACCATCAAATGTAACGCATGACATCAAAAGAACTATAATCTATGTCCTATGAAAGACAAAGTAGTATTGCATCCATGAAATAAGAATAGAATTCTCCTATAGAAGGAACAAGAGAATAAGAGAGTACAGAAAATAAAAAGGGGAATGAAATAAAAAGTTGAGCAATTTTCACAGAAAGTGGAACAAAAAGAGAAATTATGAACAATAAAAAAGACTAAGAAAATTAGAGACCCTATCTAGAAAATTGAATATCTGGATATGAGAACTTTCAGAAGGAAAAATGAACAAGAAGTATAAAATTATTTTTAAAAATTCATGTGCCCCTAAAACTCTGAAGACTTATATTGCAAGGACTCACTGAGAATCCAGCACAATGATGAAAGGCACACTGGAGGTCTGTTTTGGACAGAAGTATAGGTGGCCTGTTATGACTACCATTTAGGTACATGTAAGAGTCCAGAAATCAGGAGAGAAAAGTCAGAGTTGGAGATGTAAGATGGAAGCCATTTGCACATAAAAGTATTTCCATCCAAAACTGAGCAAAATAGCTATGAAGTTAGAAAAATGGGAAGGGCCAAGAAGAAACAGAGAACAGGAGAGAAGGGAAGAGATTAGGGTTCAGAGAAGAGATGAGGAAAAGGAACAGTCAACAACTGAGGCAGGATATGCTCAGGGAACCAGAGGAGAAAGTCCTCTGGAAGATGGGTGTGGTCAACTGTGTCACAGGCTCCCAGGGGGGAGACACTGGGGTACAATAGTACCCCTTACCCATAGCTTCACTTTCCATGTTTTTACTACCCATAGGCAACCACAATCTGAAAATATTAAGTGGAAAACCCCAGAAATAAACAATTTATAAGTTATGTGATTTCTTTTATTAGACACCGGGTCTTGCTATGTATTTCAGACTAGCATTGAACTACGTAGCTCAGGCTAGACTTAAACTCATGACAATCCCCCTGCCTCAGCCTCCCACATTACAGGCATATGCCACCATGCCTGGCTTCATAAGTTTTAAATAACTTTTATTACAGCAACTGTTATAGTTGCTCTATGTTATTATTTGTTATTAATCTCTTCCAGTGCCTCGTTTATAAATTAAACTTTGTCATAGGCATATATGTAGAGAAAAAATAATACTGTTGTTCCCACCTACAAGTTCCACATCCATGGTTTCATGGATCCACTGTGAATCAAAACACTAAGAATGGAAACATCATTTGACCAGCTCTATCTCTTCTGGGTATATTTGCAAAAAACAACAATTAAAGACATCATACTATAGTTTTTCATGCATACTCATTTTTATAGCAGTGCAGTTCACAGTAGTTAAGATCTGGAAACAGCCTAGATGAATGTCAACAGATGAGTGGATAAAGAAAATGCGACATATCAGCTACATAGAAGAATTAAATCACGTTTTTTATAGAAAAATACGCAAAACTCAGGATCATTCTGCTAAGTGAATTGGCCAGACTCAGAAAGTTAAATACTGCATGTTTTTTCTTACAGGTGACATATGAAATATAAATAAATGAGTGAATAAAATAAAGGAGAGATGATAAGAAACTAGAAGATAGACTTAGAAATGAGAAAGTGGACCAGTAGGAGGAGTGAGGAAAGGAGAGAATGGTAAAGGAATTGAAAATGACCAAGACATGTTATAATCATATACTGTTTCTTAAAATATTAATATCTCTATTCTATATTCTGCACTTAAAAAAAGAAAAGAAAAACATTTAGGAAAAATACTGTGTCTATAATAAATGTATACAGACTTTTTTCCTTGTCATTATTGTCTAAATAATAGAATAATTTACAGCCATTTAAGCTCTATTACAAGTAATCTAAAGATGAGTTACAATAAAAGGAAAATGGGCCTAGAATATATGCAAATGCAACCCCACTTTATTACAAAGGACTTCAGCATCCATAGATTTTGGTATGGCAGGGGGCATCCTAGAACAAATCCCCCTGAGGAAAGCAAGGGACAACAACACATGAACTCAGAGAGAGTTGGTGCTACCACGGTTTCAGGCACATCATGGAACAGCCTCCCCAAGGATGAGGGCAAGTGGTATGGAAGGTAGGGGGCTTTGTCATTGGACTAAGATGGAGAGCACTGGTGACCATAGTAAGAACTGTGCATCTCTCAGAAGCATCAATGTATTGAAAGATTAGGATCAGTGTAGGTGGATGATGTGAGATGGAAAATATTGATCATTTAAATGTCAAGTACTATAAAATGTTTCAACATTAAAATAATTGTGAACACAATTATTGAGGTAATCATGAGACTACATAGAAATTAGGTCAGTCTTGGTCTCTGCTTCCATGTGCTCCCCCTCTCCAGCCCCACAGAGCACTCCACCCAGTGCTATCCATGAACACATGAACATTTCCAGAGCTGGGATTGTAACTCAGTGGTAGTGAATGTGCTTAGTATGAACAAGGCCCTGGGTTTGATCTTCAACACCAAAAAAATGAAAAAAATTTACAGTAGTTTTGTAGAAAAGTGTGAGAAGCACCAACAACATACAAATATTGGCAATCACCACCCCCCTCCTGAGCTAATTTTTAAAGACACCTCTGAAAATCCTATCCTGGAGACAAGATTGCCAGGAGCACATTTGACGAATCTTCATGGAACACCAAGTGATTCTGCCTACACACAGTGTTCACCTCCAGTTTCCTCCTGTTACTGTCAGCAGTGTTAAAATCCCACTACATATTTGGTGGAATTATCCACTATATCTTTCTGAAGACTAACGTGAAGGAGCTAAGGATACATCATCTCAAAATATGCCAAACTGATAAATTCAAAATGAAATCATGTAAGGAACTGATATTTCAAAAAGAGTCATTTGGCCAGTCTTTTCCTAAGAAAACATAAAGATTATTTAGGGAGGGATGGCCTTCATATGTCAAGGCAAGAAAATACAGTTGGTCACCAGAGACTGGTAATTGGGCCTACAAAGAACCAGCATATACAAACTCATGTGGAGTAACACTTATGCCTCACTGGCTACTACACCCCGTCCTTGATTTCATAGTAACAGCTCAAGAACTTGCTACCCTGGTTCAGTGATCCATCTGTCCCATCATTTCTTCACAGTTCCATTGTTCTTTGTCTAAAAATATCTAAAGGCATCATATTAGGTCATTTCCTCAGACTTCACTCTTTCATAAAG